GGTTTGGGACCTGCACTTCCCCTTGCTGGGGCCCAGCTGTGTTGCCTGCAACCTGACTGGGCTGGAAGAGCCCTCAGATGCTGGGTAAAGGTAGAGTAACCCCATCCCAGCCGCAGAGAAAAGCCTTTGGAGGAAGGGCTGAAGAGACCACAGGGGTGGCCTCTTGCACAGGGTACTGCAGATACCTAGAAGAGACGTACCATCAGCAGCTGACCCAGAAATCTTGAGGTAGCACCCCGAGGCTGGCAGCATTGACCCCAGAGACCTGTGCTTGCCTTGCAGAGGGATCCGTGTGGGGTACACTCCCGATGTCCTGACCGATGCCACTGCAGAACTCTCTGTAGCTTTGCTCCTGGCTGCATGCCGACGGCTGCCAGAGGCAGTGGAGCCAGTGAAGAAGTGAGTACTGGAGCAAGGGCTGGCTTTTGATCCCAGCAGTTTGAGAGCTGCAGGAGACAGCGTGCTACACCAGACCAAGGAAACAAGGCTGAAGCCAGAGTTTAACCCATCTTGCACTGAACATCTTGCAGGCCAAGGTGGAGTCTCCTGCAGTTCCGTAGCTGTTTGGAGGCATGCTGCTCAGGGGCTGTGAGGGGCAGAATCCCCCTCTGCATGCTAGGTAGAGGACCTGCAGGACAGGGCACCCAGGGTCCCTGCAGACCTCTCGAGGAGGGCATGCATGGAAGGTCTGGACAGAGCTCACTGATTGGCAGTCATTCCAGGACTGTGGTTAGCAGTACCTAAATTAAATCAGTACCAAGTCTGCTGCTGTGCACCCGAAGTCTAAACGGATTTCTGTAGATTTATTGAAGTAGGAAGTTCAGAGAGGCTGGCTGTACGATATATGCCGGAGCATCTGGCCGCCCACAGCATTGTACCCCCCGTCATGCTTGCCCAAATGCTGGACGGGGCTATGAGAGGGCTCTATCCCCTGCTACTGTCTGACATCCATTTCTATCTTGCTTTTTCTGCTAGTGGTGGCTGGACAACGTGGAAGCCCCTGTGGATGTGTGGCTATGGTCTGTCTGACAGTACGGTGGGCATCATAGGTCTGGGGAGAATTGGTAAGTGCAGATCAGGCATGGGGTTTGTGTCTCCAGCAAAGGCAGGGTGGTTTTGGAGGTTCAGCTGAGGTAGTGCTCACATCTTGAATTCTGTGAGTACAAGGAGAGCTGGGTAAAGCCTCTCTGAACAGCGATCTGGACTCATCAGGCCTATACCTTAAAGCATTCAAATGCATCCACTACATCTGAATGCTACAGCAAACAGGACATCATCCTCTCAATTCTCAGTTAAACAAATGCCCTGACAAAGTCCAAGATGACGTGCTTGTCATCCGTTCAGCTGTGGACTTTGTCAGCAGATGGCTCCTTCTTTCCTCATTTTTCAGTTTGGTTCCTGGTGTAGCTTCAGGCTTAACATCCCATGACCCCCTTTCCGCAGTTTCACTGTGGCTGGAAGCTCGTTCCTGCTCACATGAGGAGCAGTAGAAGACATCCAGCCCTCACACCATGCCTGGGCTGGTCGCAGCCTGGCAGGAGTGATCCCACCACAACGACCCTTTAGTGAGCAATGTGTTCTGGTGGCTGCTGTGCCGTCAGTCACACCGAGTGTGGGCTTGCTGGAGCATGGAATGCCTGGAGAGGCCTGAAGGACCCCTGCAGCCCAGCATCAGCCTGTGCAGTACACTTGGCACAGGTGCTGGCACAATGGCTAGACAGTCTTCTCTCTCACTCCTAGGACAGGCAGTCGCCCGCCGCCTAAAGCCGTTTGGGGTCAAGAAGTTTTTGTACGCTGGCAGTTGCCCAAAACCAGAGAGTGCTGCAGAGTTTGAAGCTGAGTTTGGTAAGAAAGGTGCCGAGAGCCAGGATGGCAGCTGGTTGTCTGTACAGGGGCAGCATGGAGCACTGTGGCCCCAGGGAGGTGTCACCCGTGTGGGCGGGCCAGCGCAAGGCACCAGGGCAGCTGGAGGGTCCGGGCCTCTCCTCAGTGTCACTGGCCTGAAACGCTGTGGGGGCACATAAGGAGGGGATGGAGAATCTGTGAATCTGAAACCATGCAGCGGGGGTGGATGGCAGGGAGGGAAACCTTTCTCCTTGGAGATTCCAGTCAGAAGGCTGGATGTGCCTGGGGTCTTACTGACCACCCACCACAGTCATGGACTGTGTGTTGCTGCTGCTTTTGCCTTTCTTCTTCCCCCTGGGTCTGTCTGTTTGTGATTTCCAGTTAGTTTCATTCTGGCAAGGAAGTGGGAGTGTAACAGACAGGGAGGGGAAAGTGGCAGGTGCCCTAAGGAGGAGGAGAAGGGTGCTGTGGACCCTGTGGGATGGGTACCAGGACGTCATGCAGGGAGGAGGGGGTAGGCTGCAGCAGACCACACATCTTCGCTGAGAGTTGGTTGGTGGAAACAAGCATCAGTTTTAGCCTCCTGGTTTAAGATGAATGTCACAGTCCACTCAAGCCTGGGAATGTTTTTTTCTGTGGACCTGTTAGTGTTGATTTTTCAGGTCATCATCAAGTGCTGATTTTTCAGTCCAAAGCAGCATGTTTCCAGTTGGTACATTTTTGCACCAAGGCATTGGCAGACTTTGTCCTGCTCCTTGTACTTTTCCTTTCCTCGCCTCCTGGAGTGAAAGTGGCACAAGTGGTTTTCTGTAGGTACCATGCAGAGGGATTTCATACTGGTATGAACTGCTGCTGCACGTTCTGCTGTCAAAACATGGAATGCATATCAGAGCCTCCTTTGGGCCATATGGCTGAAGCACCACTGGATTCCCCTATGGCTCGATTTTAATTTAAAAGTGAAATGAACTACTACAGTAGTGTCTGTAGGAACGTGAGTGGTTTCTGTTGGGTGTCTGTTGCTCCTAGTGTCTCCCCGTCTGTGGAGAAGAATCAGCCAGGTGTCTCCAGAGCAGCACTCCCTGGTGAATCTTAGGGATGAGAGGGTTGCTGAGATGTGTTGATGAGACCTCCGAGCAGAGCTGTGTCCTGTGTTTGTCCACTCAGTTCCACTCATGAGGCTGGCTGAAGAGTCAGACTTTGTTGTGGTGACATGTGCTTTGACTCCAGCCACGGAGGACATGTGCAACAAGGACTTCTTCGCCAGAATGAAGAAGACCTCTGTGTTTGTCAACACGAGCAGGTAATTGCAGCCCAGTCTCCTGTGGTTGTGGGTGGGGTCTGGTAGCCTGTGAGATGTGCTTCCTCTAGGTGGCACCTAGGTCTCCCTAGGGACCTGGGTGCCACCACCCAGGCTGTCCCACACAGCCCTGGCTGCATGCCTCTGGGAGCCCATGGGACCCAGCAGCACAAGTCTCTCTGTGTTTCCCAGGGGGGCAGTGGTGAACCAGGAGGACCTGTGCAATGCGCTGGCCAATGGCCAGATCGCAGCAGCAGGCCTGGATGTCACAACGCCGGAGCCACTGCCCACTGACCACGCCCTGCTCTCCCTCAAGAACTGTGGTAAGTGGCCGGCTGGGTGGCTGTGTCCCACTCTGCTCTGGCAGCCTGCACTTCAGGTGCCTGTATGCCCATGGCTAGGGACCTGCTAGCTGGTGTGACAAGGATTCCCCATCCCCGTTAGCCTGTCTGCACAAGCCACCACTGGAATGGGGATGGACAGGAAGGTCATGTGTATTTAAGCAGACTGTGGGTAGCCGTCGTACAATGCGGGGAGCTGCTAGAGGGGAAGGCCTCATCAATGTGATGTAAAACACATTGTATTTTATTCTCCAGATAGTAGTTGAGATCGGCTGTTTTTTTAACATGTTTGTAAACTGACCTCCATTCGATGGGATGAGGCATGGGGTGAAATTCATTGAGGGGTCTAATACCAACAGGTGCCTGAATGAGAAACCAAATCCCTGCTCATGCCCTGCCAAGCTCTGGTTTTCTGTAAGCTTCCGGGCATATATTCTGCTGGAAAAGCTTCCCATGTGGTTAAGAAGCTGGATCCTAGAGGAATCTTAGCCTCAGGAGTGCTGCAGCCACTGCAGGACTCACCAGCCAGCCCATCCACCATG